ATCCATACCATCCCATCCTGTCTTTCTAAGATCCATTTTAATATTGTTCACCCACCTACGCCTTGATCTTCCCTGTGGTCTCTTTCCTTCTGGCTTTCCTACCAATATCCTATACACATTCCTCGTCTCCCCCCTTCGTGCTTCATGCCCTGCCAACCTCATCCTCCTTCACTTGATCATTCTAATTATACTTGGAGAAGAGTACAAGTTATGAAGCTTCTCATTAATCTTAAGGGTTAGGGAGAGTAATTAAAAGTCCATAAAGACTGTCTGCAGTTTGTTAGCGCTCCATTTATGTAATATATAGTAGGAAATAGTGGTTGCTCTTAGAGATACTCAGTTCGAATGCAATATGTGACCCTTCTGTCAGCCTCTCCATAACAAATGCAGGAACAATAACCTCACCTAAGGCAAAGTTTAATCTGAATATATATTCCAAATCTCTCGATTTGCAGGAATTGCACTGTCTCATGAACCGTGCAGATGTAACCTTATTGTTAAAAAATATAGTATTTATCGACAAGTAAAAGTGGTTAGCCAAGCGACCGATTGACTGAGCGACTAACTGCTTGACTTAACAATTATACACGTATAAACTCACTTCAATTAGATCTTTGTTGTTTGGGTAGATGCTAATGTCCAGAGAACCATTTGTACGTTACTTAATACAGTTTGTTGACGAGCAGGATAAGATAAATTACCACTCAATAAGAAAATTAAATGCCCACTTGAGCAAAAACTCTTGGAAATGAAAATATCTGAACAAGCAAAGAAAATGGATTATTTAGCCTGCAGCGGAGGCAGTAAGAGACGCCATGACCTAAATGTAGTTCAGGAGTTCCGTATAACTTCAAAATGCGCACTGTCACACGCTGCCAAAGGCAAACTTTAATAATATTCTACTGAATAACAGTCATGTCTTTGCTTTTATGTGAGTCCGAAAGTTGGACGGGAGGAAGGAACAATGAGGAAAAGTCAAAACGGAGAGCTTCTTCAGAGCGGTTACAGGACAGAGAACAGCTGTTCATAAACGTAATGGAGATATTGGAGAAAAATTACAGAAATCAGAGATCTATACAGAAAACCTTTATCAGCAGATTGAAAGTAGAGCGCAAAGACATCATTGCCATATTCAACGAAAAGAAGAAAAGGCGAAAGATGAGCAAGGAAAATGTTGCACTGGTCACCGTCACGCAGGGGAACAAGACAGCCAAACGGAACAAATGGAAGAGCGGGGACCTACGTAGAGGTGGAGAGTGCATGTCAGGTCTATTAGGGAAGGTGGAGAATGGGGGAAGACTTTGCGAACTCACACAGACTTAAGTCCATAAGAAGAAGAAAAATAAAGGACTAAACATTTGCAAAACATGCCTGTATCGAATTCCGTTGATGCGCTAGTAATACGAACTGAATGCGATAACCAAAGAGCTGGATCAGTTTTAGTTCCTGTCACGGGAATAGCGCAAGAATTGAATCCATAATGCTGTTGATAAGTTAGTACGTCACAAGATAGTCTGGTTAGTTATTAGTAGGGATCGGATTTAAATGCAAATGCATATTTCTTTCTTGCAACCAGAAAGTATGCTCCTTTGGTTATATGTATGAATTACTTCATTTCTTAAATTTTGGACATGGTTTGATGGTGAATATAAATGCATATTTTGCCTGTTTTATGAAAAAGCATCATATTTTCAAAGATCTCTATTTATACTGCATGTTTCCTTTTTGAAATGTTTATCATATATATTTTTTTTTAATTTTATGTTCAAATTTTCAATCATGGTCGTGTGTATACAATTTTTCTTTTCCGTATTAGAATATGTTGCATATTTGACTCAATATTTCGTCATGATTCATGTTTCTGATGCAATATCCAGGACGGGACTTCCCCGATCCCTCTACCCGTAACTTGCCTCATCCGCGTACCATCAAAGTGGCCCCAAAGAGTTGTCTGAAGCGTTCACATGTACCCGCTATCAACGTAATACTATTCAACCGATAAGGGATTTCACTTATTTATTTCCGAAGTCTCCATGAGGTTCGTTACGCTTCTTCATTTGAAGCTGGGGCCATTCACATTAGTGGTGACTAGTCTGTAGTTAAGTTTGTTTAGCTTTCTGTAGTCATGCCGAAAGTGAAAGTAAGTCAGAAAACTAAATTACAGCTGTATCAGCGGGAGTTCGAAGGAGAGATGATAAGTACGGATAACGAAATTCTTTATTGCCGAGCGTGTGAGAAAACAGTTGGTTGTGAAAAACGCTTTCAAGTGCTTCAGCATTTGAACACTAATATACACAAAGAGAATATTAAAATTAAATCCACGAAAAGTGCTCCTGTTCAAAAATTGCTTAGTGAATTTTCTAATAATAGTTTTTCACAGTTTTCCTTTGATTTATGCGAAGCCTTTTTAGCGGCAGATATTCCGCTGTGGAAACTAACCAGCCCTACTCAGAGAAACTTCATAGAGAAGTATACACAGTGCAAAGTGCCGGATGAATCTACTGTGCGCAAAAATTACGTGAAGCAGTGTTACGATCTTACAATTGAAAGCATTAGAGATAAGATTCAAGATAATTTTGTGTGGGTATCAATCGACGAAACACAAGATTGTGAGGGACGGTTTATTGCAAATTGTATAGTTGGATCCCTTAATAAGAATGAACAATCTACCCCATATCTTCTTGCGGTAGAGCAATTTGAAACCACAAATAGCTCCGCAGTTTCCGAATTTTTTTATCAATTCCAAGAATTTACTATGGCCGAATGACATTCAGTATGAGCGCGTATTGCTCTTTGTGACTGATGCCGCAAGTTATATTATGAATGCCGGTCCTGCTCTTAAAGTTAAATTTCCAAATGTGACACATTTGACTTGCCTTGCCCATGGGTTTCACAGTGTTGCAGAAACAATTAGTGCAAATTTTCAGCTTGTTGACAAGTTGTCTTCTGTGAAGAAGGTATTTGTTAAACCACCATACAGAAAAGAAGCCTTCAAAGCAGTAGCACCGAGCGTTCCACTTCCGCCAGAACCAATTTTAACGCGCTGGGGCACGTGGCTGTGTGCAGCGAGTTAGTATACCGAACATTTAGAAACAGTTACGAATGTCGTGAATACATTTGATCCCAAAAGTGCAGCATCAATTCAAATTGCCCAAGATGTACTAAAAAACGCAGAACTAGAAACAAATCTTTCCTATAATTCTGCTCACTTCTCTCCTCTTCCATCCGCCATTTCCTAACTGGAGGCAAGCAATAGCAATACTACTCTGTATCAGTCGTTAAGTGTGTTCAAAACCACTGTTTCCAAATTGAATTCGGTTCCTGGAAGAGTAGGTGAAGTAGTAAAGGAAAACGCACACAGCATTCTTTAAAAAAAATCCAGTATACGAAGAAATTTGTGAAATTGAAGAAATTTTAGCAGGTAAACGTACTGAACCGCCAAGTAAGAAACCACTAACAGTGGAGCAAATAGCGGCTTTTGCACATGCGCCCCTAAGTTCCTGTGAGGTGCAAAGAAGTTTTTCCCGCTATAAGGACATCTTACGAGACAATAGGAGGCGAATATGGAAAACCTAAAACATTTAGTAATTGTGAACTGCAACAGAAGAGAAGTTGAAAGTTCGGAGAGCTAAATGTGAGTACCATTGGTTTTTTAAATTTGTAATGAAATATGTTGTCTTTGTTGAATGATTTGTTTTTAAGTATAGCTTTTTATTGAAAGTCAATCATTCAGTTATTTCATAAAATGAACTTAAATATTGATTTGTTGGCCTTAAAAGAATGTAAAATCAATTTTAATATTTGGTATAAATTTTTATGTGCATATTTTAGTACATATTTCGGAAGCTTTTCATGCATAAATGCATACACATTTAAGGGATTATTAGGGCATAAAAATCCGGTCCCTAGTTATTAGTTACGTATGAGTAACGTTTACATATTTCTTGATGCAATGTTGTAATGTTGTATATACATAACCAATCTATTTACCGGTCACGGTAGCCGAGCGGTCTAAGGCAGGCACACTGTCTTCTCTCGCTCGGAAAACGGGATCGTGGGTTCGAATCCCACTCAGGGCATGGATGTTTAGTTAGTGTGTGTGCGTTTTTCTGTGTTTGTGTACAGGTAGAGGCCTTGCGACGAGCTGATCACCCGCCTAAGGAGTCCTACCGAATGTGTAAGATCTAGAAAAACCGAAATGAACGGAGAAGTTCATGGAGGTAGGCCTAGGCCCACTGGGGCTGTAGTGACAAGAAGAAGAAAAAAACTATGTATTTAAAGGAATAGGCAAAACAAACCCGACACCGTAAACTACTGATACCGAATTATCGTTTATTTTCTCTGGCTTCAGTTGCTACTTCAAGACACAGTATATATGTACGTATATACATGTGTATATCGATATACCCAGAAGCTTCTTCTGCCATGAAGTGCAAACTTTATCACAGCAATGTTAATGTCGAGTTTCTGAAAGAAAAAGAGCTGGCTTATCGGGTAGAAGCAAACAGGGCTGTGAATCGATCCCCGCCTCCAGAAGAAGGAAATAAGAAATGAGCAGCGCATGTTTTCTCGTACCGCGAAAGATGGATAGCAAAACCGTTAACTACGCTTTCGTTAAATTTTAGGTTTTATGTAAATGATTAACCTTAATCTTTCCAACTACTGTTCAGAAAGGTTCCGGGGTTGAGTCTCGACAGAAATCGCCGCTATATATGGCCTAATTAATTACAATAACACTCTAACCAGTATATGAGAACCGCCAGCAGTTGAGAAACACTGCTTTAAAATAGTGCACAACCACCACACTTCATATTCAGTATTCACAATGCCATCCGGGCCCATGTAATCTATGTAGGTGATAAAATGTCGTGAAATAAAAGAAGAATAACGCATTCTTTGGGTTTTATTTGTTTGTCTGACATTCCGCCATCTGTAAGGGCGGAACTTGCGTCAGCACGGAAATGTGTTGGACCCCCAGGACGACTCAGAATTGCACTTACGCCTGGCCGCTGGTCATGTCATAGCGCCGTTGCATGACGTGCCAGATCTCCCAGGAGATGGAGCCATAGGCAACTATCATTATGCACGTCGGTATCACCAGGATCAGCAGCAACATGTAGACCTCGTGGAAACGCCACAGTGAAGGCTTGTCCATAGTCTGTACACAGTAGTACGCCTTGTACTTAATTCCAACCAGAATATGTTCCTGTTGAAAGAAAAGAGGAAGACATGTTTTATTCGTCATAACAGAGTCCCAACTTTTGTGTAAGTTTGCAGTCTCTGCGCAGTGTTCACGAATTGAGCCACATAGGCATAAGGCAGCTCACGTTTGTCCGTCCGTCTGTCTGAACATCTTAATTCGAGATCCCATAACAAGTAGCGTGAGAGTGTGATTACTAAAAAAACAAACACATTTACAACATTCTAACTAAATACAGGGTGATTCATATAGAACCGGCCCGACGAAATGAGCTGTAATATAAAATATACCATACAGATATTAAATTAATTTACACATATCTTATCTTGGATTGTGTGCCGTGATCAGAGCAGGTGTTGAAAGTGTCCGCCATTTTCAAGTAGGCACTAGAAACACTCGCTGTTCAACAGTGAACTCCATGACTGTCGCCTGCGCACTGCAGACACGTTTCGGCATTGTCCTTGACCTTGCAGCATAAGGGCTGCCACTTGCCGGATCATGCGCACACCATTCGACTCAGCACGGCTCACGGATTATTATGTCGTAATTGTGAGCGGTTATATGCATCACCTGCGGAATTATTAGCAAATTCATCGGGCCGGTTCTATACGATTCACCCTGTACTTACACCAATATATTCTAAATCGACCATTACCTTGAACACTTGATCGCAATCCCTTACAGAATTTCATAATCTTGATTTGGTAGAGGCGCTTTTGAAGGTTAATTTATTCACATATTTATTCTAGGCCTGTGATTCTGTTTCTTCGAATTTGCTGGATGTGTTCTGACAAAAGTAGATATTGAGGAGTATTGCTAAAATATGGTGACCAATTAAAATCTCAGTTAAAGTAAGTCAGCAAAAACTATTTTTCCTTTATTTTCCTTGGCACCACAGCCCCAGTGGGCCTAGGCCTACCTCCATGAACTTCTCTGTTCACTTCGGTTTTTCTAGATCTTAGACATACGGTAGGACTTCTTGGGTGGGTGATCAGCTCGTCGCAAGGCCTCTACCTGTACACAAACACAGAAAAACGCACACAAACATCCATGCCCTGAGTGGGATTCGAACCCACGATCCCGGCTTTCAGCGAGCGAAGACAGTGCACGCCTTAGACCGCTCGGCTACCGTGACCGGCAAAAAAAAAACTATTTTACCTAACGATTTATAAGAATGTTGAAAAGTTCATTGACAGTATTTCATTAAACACTCTTCTGTTTCCAACTATGGTGATATGAATTAAAACGTACTTCCTGTAAAATTCTGTTCACATGAAACATAATGTAGAACTTCAAATTCTGGCTTAAAATGACGTATGATCTTTTACAGACTGTTTACATTCTTTTGCATTGTTTGCACAAATGCATGTTTCTAATGCGTAATGGTCATATTATGTCCTTTCATGTATTCCAGCACCCATACTGCACAAACTGCTCACGCGTGTCTAATACAGACTCTGCAGTACGTTAAGCACAAATAAAAATTAAACGATTTTCTGAAAAATAAATTGCTTATTGTAAAATAATCTGGAGTAGTACATAGAATTTATATATATTTTGGTGAGATATAAAACTTTTAGGCCCATCTAAAGCCCTTTTTTGCATGCCGTATATTTAACAAAATGCAAGAGAAATAATTTTCCCCTCTATGCAATGTGGCACCATTAATGCTACTCGTTAGCTTTGAAACATTGTAGTAATGGATTTGCGTTTGCAGGAAGTTAACGCAAAGGGCAGTGAGGTGCGATACATTGAACGAGAAAGTAGAATCTTTTGACAGATGTTTACATTCTCGTTTAGTTTACTATTAATATTTTGCTCCCGGCTGGAATGTTGCATGTTTTACGTGTATGATGGCGTTTCCACTAGGATGAGCTGTTACTTTCCCATTGCAATGAGCTTAGTCAGATTTTCCGTCTCTATGTTATCATAATAGATAATAGATAATTAGGAATAGGAGGTGACGGTGTGGACTGGAATCATCTGAATAAAGCAGTCTTCTGGGATGTGGCATCGTGTAGATGTGGTGTTAACAGACGTTTCGGAGGAACGTATCGCCTCCATCTTCAGGGTAGAAGGAAAAATAAGAAATCCGCAAGCGAAGAGATCGTGAGAACCGGTACAATTTTACCGGATTTCTGATTTTTTCTTCTATCCTGAAAATGGAGGCGATACGTTCCTCCGAAACGTCTGTTAACATCACATCTACACGGTGCCACATTCCAGAAGACTGCTTTCTTCATAGTCACCGCCGTGAAAACCTCAAATCTTACATGGATTCGTCCGGTTCATGATAGTAGAGAACAGAGACAAGACAACACGGATGTTAAGATTATGGTGAAAGAGCTGAATTCCTTGAATAACTGAGCTACTGTTGGCATCTCAAAAAGGACGTGCTCCACAGAGATGGTTAATTACAATGTACTTACGTTTCTTCTACAAGAAATTAGTAAACGTAGTTCATAATTGAATTACTTTGACAATAGTTTCACACTTTAATGAGTTTCATTGTTTGGTTACCAATTTCACTTGTTAAGCGTAAGAGCCTCCCTGTGGTGCAACGTAAAGTCTCTTACAACAAATGGTCAGTGTAGTATGTTATAAAATACTGGTTGTTCGTGAGGAAGTCACAGCGCTCCGGCAAATTGTGTTACGAGCACAAGTCTAAAATTTCCTTTCTTGGAATTATAAATCTCATTAGGGTTCTGTCCTCTGCAATAATGTTCACCCCTTTAGGAATCATGCATTTTATATAAAATAATTATGCTACGTGTAGACGAAACCAAGGGCTTATTGCAATATTAACTACTGAAGGAGTTCTTTGCCTCTGATCCATATAACAGCGGCCCGCTAGATAACTGTCAGCTTTGAAAGTACACGAAGAAAAGAGAAGAACTCGTTATCATTGATTTTGAAGCTGAGTACTTACATTTATTGTTTGCCTCTCTGATAATTCGAATGTTTGAGCTTCTGAACTACCGAACTGATTTCGACGAAATTTAGTAAGACATAATCTATTATAATATTTCTAGAGATGGTTTAATTTTATCGAGTGTCAACAGAATATAATATTTAATTCATATGAAATTCAAATTCAAGTTTCTTCCTATTTATCTAAAGTGGCTCGCACAGAAGATATCGTACTGTGTAATAATGCAGATTTCACTGATATCTGAAACTTTCATATGCAACAGTCTAGATGTGTTAGACAAGGAAATTATAATGTATTACCTTCTGAAATGTAATACATATGACTGAGATTGCAACAACAGATTTGTGCCCACAATAAATAATTCAGTTCAATGGAAACACATAAAGAGCTTATTTGCATACATACGTGTATTTCAGCCTTGTTTCTTTGGCCGTGCGCTCGATTTGTAAGAATTAACTGCCGCGTTAGTGTTTCCAGCACGGGGTTAGTACTGTCTTGCTTTACGTTGCAACGCTGTTACCATTAAGTATCTGTTCAAAACGTAAGGATCTACTGCAGTAGCGAGGTAACTTTCTGTGTGCTACCGGGGAAGCGTCTTCAGAAAAAGCAATTTATTTTCGTCTTATTTACTGCCAGAAATTTGGACAGCGATATAATGGCTTGTATTAACTGCGGCTTATTTGAACGAACTGGCAAAGAAAGTCAGCAGTTTCTTGCATTGCTATTTCTCTCTAGTAATGGGAAAGCCCATTGCAATTCGTAGGGAATAATTTCTTTCACATTTCCATCCTTTACCCTATTCATCCTCTCAGCTGAATTCCCTAATTTTGAATAAAAATAAAAGGAAGCTTATGGGCCCACCTTGCCGTCTGTCTGTGTATCCTCCCTTAATTTTTGTTAGCAGTCTCACGAGCTCTCCCTGTTGTCCCTGTGCCTGCACACGCCCAAGATTATTTATTTTTCTGTGCGGTCCCGTCGTATGAAAGACAATTATATGACTAGTTTTTCCTAGAATTTCTTGTCTTTTTTCCTTCATACATTTATATTCTTTTCTTCTTTCCCCGTGAAGACAGCGAATTACTTCACATTTTATTGCTTGAGACGTCACAGTTTGTAACACAGTACATTAAAGCTAATGCTGTGTGACCCTGTAGCACGAATAGATGTTAGAATCTCTGGAAAATATTCGTTGGAGAATATGAAGGGAAGAAAAACACTTGGTAGACCTAGACATAGATAAGAAAGTAACTGTAAAATGCATTTTAAAGAAGTAGGGTTTGAAGACGTGGTCTAGATTCAGTTGACTGCAGACAGGTTCCAATGGCTGGTTCTTTTGAACACGTTAGTGACAATTTTGATTTATTTTAGAGCGGGTATTTTCTCGACTTATTGCACAACTGTCAACTTCACAAGTAGAACTACGTACTAAGAAGTTATTTATACTTTATTCATACAAGGCACCTTCATACTATACGGCTCAGTTCATAGTGCATCCCCCCCCCCAAATGATGATAAAGGGAAATGCTGAGTCAGTAGACCCTGTTATTCCTGGAACCCACAACGTGTGACATCACTCGACTCAAGAGAATGGTGTTATTAAGAACTGTAATCAGAATCTTTCTGAAGTATGCGTAATTTTTTTACAGTTCATTTATGAAACTACGCTGGCTTATTTCATTTTGTTTTATTCTCAAACCATAACTGAGAGATCTGAAAGAAACAACAGAACTTGTAATCAATGTTTTGATTCAAACCTCGAGTCTTTCAGGCAGTACCTCAAACAGCTGTAGACTATTCTTGACTGCCAACGTAGACCAGTACCTTTGTTCAAGCTCTACATTAACAGGTCCGTAAGGGCTTTCAGAATTAATGTTTAACATACAGGAGGGTGTAGGGTCTGACGCTGGAATTGTCGTTCCTTGGAAGGATACTGATGAATTCATATCACTCACCTGTGAGACGAGGTTCGGCACAGCAAGCAGAAATGAGGCTACCCATATTCCCAAGATGATCTTGCGTGCTTGGCTGATGGTGCACATATATTTGGCTTTCATGGGGTGCACGATAGCATAGTATCTGAAAACATGAATACTAAATTAAATATAACGTTTGTACTATATCGAAAGTTATTATTAGAGGGTTACCTCCGCAATTTCATTCAACGTACCAGAAATACAGACTCAGTACTTGATGTTACTACAATTGGCTTGTTAGCATATTTTTATCTGAAATATGTGAGCAATGGCGGAGGGAACAAAACTGAACCAGAGACATAACAGTTTTAATTTATTACGAAAAGAACTGAAATAAATATAGCAGTATTTTATTTTCTCTAATTACGTAATAAATACAGCAATACCTCGCATAGTCCGGCTTCGATCAGTTGGGATTCACTGTAGTCCGGTTTGAAAATTTCAAAACAAAAAATTTTTATTGAGCAAAATAAAAATAAATTATAAAATATTAGTACATAAAATTATTTTTAATACATAAATGATCGATTTTTTTCCCNTTTGCAAGAGCTACAACATCAGAAACGTTATCGAAAACATAGACGAAGCATGGCATGAATTAACGGCAAGCAATATGAGGGCAGTATGGAAACATATCATACCACATTGTGCAAATGATTTCATTGGTTTTGAAACTCATTTTGCTGAAGTCACTAATAACATAGTGGAAACTGGACAGCAACTTGGTTTCAATGAGTCAGATTCCGTCAGTGTAATTGAGTGTATCAAAGCGAACACTAATGAACTAGATAATGAAACACTCATTAACATAGATGAACAAGGGGCTTATGAAGAACGGGAGGACAACTTAGACAACGACAACTGTGTTGAAGTGCCTGCATGAGAATTAACAGCTGAACAACTATAAACAATTATTGGAATGGTTGAAACCTTGTCAGA